ATGCGCCTTGTGATCGTGGTAGCAGAAAGAGGCACCCGTGCAACCTTTTGAGCAGCAGCCTCTCCCAAAACTTCACGGCAAATATCCTTGGTCGCAGGCAAAATAAGCTCTTCTCCAATCGTGAAAGGTTTCTTGGCTTTAGCAATGTGGTTCGCCACGAGGTACGATGCTTTCAGCACGTTCGAATTTGTTGATGTGGTGGCCCTCAGTAATTGTCTCTGTCCTTCGTGCTCGCTCTTTTTTCTTTCAAAAAAATCCAAAGGTTTGTTTTTTAATCCGGGGTGCTTAGTCTCGATGTGCCGGAGCAACTTTGAAGGCTTCATTGCCTCATTCGCGAGCTTTTGGCCACATATAATGCACAGCGGACTTGGCGCCAGAGAGTCACCTGTTGCGACAAACCCATACCTGAGGTAGGATTCTTGGTATAGTCTGTTAAAAGCAGACTTTGGTTTTTTCGAGGTTGTGGGCTCATCTTGGGGCTCGTCAGATGCCCTTTTCCCCGTAAAAAAGCTGTCCAAGGACGTCTGTTTTTCACTCATTTTTGCTAGTGGAGGCTAATTTGTGAGAATAAATGTGACGCTCACGCCCGACGTAGGGCGTGAGCGAACTAAATTTCCCACAGCACTGATTGGACAAGCAATATCTTTACAGCCAATGATGGCCAAGCGGGCGTGTCATAACGAATTCACGTGTTGAGTCGCGTGTGTCTTACCCTCTGTGGCAGAAACTCCGTCGAACCGCCGAGATCGGCTCACCGAACCCGGGGGACGCAAAAAAACGTGAATTAACCGGGTCCAATCGAATACAGGTTAAGAACCACTGCTATTTTGAGAGTAGACAGGCATATTGTTGTGTCAAGGGGCACAGGCCAAAGTTAATTCGGCCAAAATGCGGTCATTAATAAATTATTTATTTTATTCTCTGCGGCCCGGTACCAAATGGTCCGCGGACCGGTACCGGTCCGCGGACCGGCGGTTGGGGACCCCTGATATAGACTGTTTGAATGTTAGCGTTGGGTCCAATCTCTTTATCTTTGTTTACATTGTTGCTACCTCGTTCCTCCATGTTTCTCAAATGGTAGCATGTTAGCATTTGGATTGACTTTAGACTTAAATTAAGAAGCTTTTTTTTTTCCTGAGCAATACAGAAAAAAAAGCCCATCTTATCTCCAGGGTAATCATAAACAAAATACAAACACATTATTTTGTACAGAGAGCTTATCTATTTGCGTGATAAAAGTACGTTTAAAGGCATTTTTTCCAGGTGAGGTCGGCTTGGAACCAGAGTGGCTTTCAAAGAGAAGACGCCAGGCCACACAGTGAGGCCTACGAGTGTGTTGCACTGATGCTTCTCGAGATAGACACCACTTAGCCAAAGCAAAAACTCAATGTTGTCAGTCCCCCCCTCCGTCGCACCTTGACACCTCTCTCATCTTGCGCTTTTGTCGCACGGCTTCACTGACACGCTGTTATCCCCCG